AATCTCCATTCTCCTTCAGATTTACGCACAGGCCAGATGGGGCTGTTGAAGGGTGAGTGGGTTTTGCTGACCACCCCTTGGCTCTCCAGCTCACGGATCATCTTGTGGATGGGGATCACGGCATCTCGATTCGTCCGGTACTGCCGGCGGTGCACTGTCGAGGTGGCAATTGGCACTTGTTGCTCCTTCACCTTCAGGAGTCCTAATGCAGATGGGTTTTCTGATAGTCCTGGCAAGGTGTTCAATTGTTTAATGCCCTCTGCCTCTATAGCAGCTATTCCAAAAGCCCACCTGAGTCCTTTTGGATCTCTGAACTACCCATTTTGGAGGAAGTCTATGCCCAAAATGTGTGGGGCCCCTGGGCCAGTCACAATAGGGTGTTTCTTCCATTCATTTCTAGTCAGGCTCACCTCCGCTTCCACCAAAGTAAAATCCTGTGATCCCCCTGTTATACCAGCAATAGAAACAGATTCTGTCCCCACATGTCTTGATGGGATTAGTGTGCACTGTGAATCGGTGTCGACCAAGGCCTTATATTTTTGTGGTTCAGATGTGCCAGGCCAACAAAATCCACACTGTCCAAAAAACACGGTTTTCCCTAGCCTCTACCTGGCTAGAGGCAGGGCCCCTCTCAGCCTGGTTATTCTTCTTTCCTTGAGCATATGTCTTGGAGGTTCCTTCAAGGGGATCAGACATGTCATCATCATCATCATCATCGTACTTGGCAGTTTGGCTACGGGCAACTGGAGCTGCTTCCCTTTTAGTGGAACTCCCTCTCTGCATCTCGCTGTCCTGCGACACCCCAAGACATTTGTATAAACAGCACTTCCTCAGGCAGGGAGGTAGTGAATGAGTAGTCCTGCATAGCTCAGGTGGTGAATTTTGTTGCAATTGCAAGAGAGAAAGCTTAGTGCACAGAGATACCTTCCATGAATTCACTGAGCCTGATCCTCCACCCCCACCAGAGTGCTGTCAGCTGTGATTGCCAGCAGCAGCCACGTCATTGTCACAGGCTTAGACATTGTCAGTTAGTGCAAAGCACAAGTGGGAATAATGATTTTATTTTATTTTATATTTTATTTTATTTTTCCTCCTTGAGAAGCAATACTTGGTGAACTCACCCCCTTTGTTACAATCAAAATCCTTGTGTTTAGTGTCAGGTTCACGGAGTCTAGGAAGGTGGCAAAAGTAATGCCATGGGGAAATCACAAGGGATTTATGTCAAGGCTACTGCAGCTAACTGGGTGGAATGGTACAAAATGTTTTGTTTGGCTTTAGCCAGCAGAACTTTCTTTGGAATAGGCAAAAATAGGCAGAGACAACATTTTTGTGCAAATCAATAGAACCAATCCTCATGTATCACATCAAGCACAAGGACATCAACAGGCAGAGCTGCTTTGGTCTTACAAAGTGTTCATGCTGTGTAATGTGCACTAAACCACTCTGGGAACCCAAGCAAAGACAAGTTTGTGCTCTGGGGTGGTGCATCTCCAGCCAGAGGTTTCCCACAAAAGTGGGGAAACCTTTGTACTGTACCCAGCCTCAGCCTGTAGACATCCTTGTGTACCAGTCAGATCAAAATCCATCACCAGTTTGCGTACCTACCACAGCAAGCAAAGTAGTCCACTGCTGCTGCTCCATCCTGAATGGAAAGAGATAAAGGAGATCAAGATTAGAAATAGGAAAAACTCATAGGAAAGCATCTGGCTCCCAGAAATTTTCCTGCTTTTACACTGAGATTTATGCTTCAGTTAAATTTTCACCATTAAAGAGCAAAGTACAAACCACCAGACATCAATTAAATTACTATTTAGTCAATCGTATCCTTTCTGGTAGCTCTGGTAGTTCTTCTTCACAAGTGCTTACCAAATGGTGATTCTGAGAAGCAAGCCTTGCTTCACTAATTGAGCACTGATAATTTTTAGGAACTGTTACCTAAGTAAGTACAGAATTGTTGCCCCTTCCTCCTCAGGGGATGCAACACTCAGGAATAAAAAAATGCATCCAGAATCTCTAAAATGGAGCAGCTGTTTTAAGATAGGAAGGACAGTCTGTGTGTCTGGATACAACTGTCCCCGCAGATGGCAGTTCAGGGTGTAAGCAAAGGTCAGAGCTGGCTAAGGACATGATTTGTGTCCATGGGACCGGAAGGCTTTTGGCTTCCTCAGCAAGACAAGCTGCCCCAGGGTTATTTTGTGTGAGCAGTCCTGAGAGCATTACACTGAGAGTCAGGTAACCAGAGCCTCTTACCCCTGAATGCCACATATATCAGTCCTCTTTTCTCTCCATCACCCCAAT